ATTCTTAATACCATAATATTCTATTGCCCTTGGCAGATGCAAGCACAGATAATTGTCTTGTTGTAGGACAGATGACCCCATTCCTGTCCCTGTTGTTTAAATCTTGCCTCGAATCCTCGGTTGTTCCCCTCTCAGCTCGGTGAGCACTGTTTCCAGGACCAAAGACAAGCAGCAAGAGCTTCACAGTCAACATGAAATGTATGAGGTTCTTTGGTCTCTGCTTGGGCTTAGATCTTTTCTGTCTTATTTACGGAGGTTTTCCTCCTTTAGTTTGCTTTATTGGGAGCTAAGCTGTAGTAATAGAGGGGGAGGAGGGCTTCTTACCCTGATGTGGTGTTTGCCATGTGAAGTTCCTGCCCATTTGTGTCAGACAGTCCCAGCCTATCCCCAGCAGATCACAAGGAGACTCACTCTGAATTGAATATCTGGCTTTACCTTTGAAATAGATTTGTTTTAACAAGTGCTGCCCATAAGGCATAATCCTGTGACTTATTGAAATAATCTGTATGACTTTCCTGGGTGCTTCCTACCTGCTGAAATCCAGTTCTTGCAGACATGCACCTGCCTGCCTTTGCCTGACAGGAATAGTGACATCAAGTGGCAGTGGGGCCTCAGGGACAGAATAATACTCAATTCCCTTCACACTTTTTCCTCATGATTTTTTTTTAAATTTGACATTGTGTGGGAGTTACCACAGCCTGGACAACCTAATAAAGGTAAAAATCTAGGGAGTTTAGAGAAATAAAGGGAATGGGCCCAAACTAGCCCAAAATCTATCTGTAGATTCAGGATTCCATCACTGTGCTCTGTCTCATGGTGTCAGTATTGGATTTTCTTCATCTCCCCTCACTCTGGATAATGGAGGTACATTACTAAAATAAACACTGATAATATTATACCATTCATTTCTTGTTTCATTAGTCCATGATAACTGGAAATCCAAAATTTTAAGTAATGGTTGAGATTTTGCCATTACTGAAAGGTCTTTCCCAACCTAAATGATTGTATGATTCTAAGATACCAGGAGGCCATACCAGAGACCAGCAGTCCCTTTTGTTTTGCAATATAAAACATTATACATGCAAAGAGGAAAGCAAGCAGTGTCTGCTGTGAGCTGCCACGTTCATTTTAGGGAGATTAATCTCACAAAGGAAAGCATATGTGGAACTGGGTCACAGCACTTCACATGTTCAAGCTTGTGTAAGATACAAAGTGATCAATCCCCATAAGATCTTTGTAAAGTGAACAAGGTTTATTATTTATAGTAGTAAACAGGCTGGCATTTATCTTTTCAAAGCATGGCAGTAGCATAAAATATGTTTTAACTTTTGTTGTTTTCAGTTATTTGCATTTTAAAAGCTCTACTTTGAGTCGTTATACCTTTCTTGAGTTTCATGATTTATATAATAAGATACTTGCATGTACTGAAATGACAATTCTCAAAGCCAGCGAAGAATAAAAGCGTGGCACAGCGTGGAAATTCAGTGTTATAATATGAAGGCATATATATTCTAATATGCAATTATTGCACCTTTTTAAGTTATTCTTAATGGAGATAGCAAGATCACAAAGCCCCCCTAGCAGAGTGGATGCCCTACCTCACAGTCCTGATACCATCAGGAAATGTAGCACAAGAGTGAGACAGCACAGTCAGCGAAATTTGTCTTCCTTTATAGTCTAATTCAACTTCAATCACATAGAAGGGGAGCCTGTTTAGTGCAGTGGTGTTAGAAAATGAGCTTTAGCAGAAGCTGAAGTCAGGTTTAATGAAAATAACTGTTTGGAGTATGTGCAGCAGTGCATGATGTGTTTTATTTTAATTCCTGTCACTCTACAAGAAGCAATTTTCCTTTCTCCTTTCTCACCAGCAATTCCTACTCATCCTCTCATTCAGTTTGGGCTTTTTGTTTTATGACAATTACTGCTTCAGTTTTCTCCTTAAATTGATCCTGGTTAGGTATACATCTTTAATGCTCTGCTGAGCTAAGAGCATTTTTCACTGCTCTATGCCAGCAGAAGTCATGGCTCTGCCACATATTTTGTAACGTTGAGGCTATTTATTGAGATAATCCTTGCATGGACTGAGAGCAGCTTTTTGTGTTAGGCCCAGAGCTTCATCTGGTGATAACTGTTCAGGTTATCCTGTGGTGCTTCAGCCAAAGTCAACCTTGGAGGGGGAGGAAATGCTGGATAAGGAGCTTCTTCTGCAAGTCTGCAGCAGCTCCTGGGATGACCAGTGTGAAATGCTGCATGTTGCTCTTTGAGCTTTACTTGATTTAAGATCTAATGCTTTAGAAGTACTGCCCCCAATTTTTTTTCTGGATTTGGGAGCTGTTTTGGGAGTTTTTCATGCTTTGTGTTGACCAAAGTTCTGCTGACAGAAAAGGTAGCAGAGAGCTTTGGTCCCAAGCACCATTCCCTGTGCATTGTCCAAAGGAGCATCACAATCACCCTCAGAGTATTTTACTTAATTAATCATCTGCCTTTATTGAGATTTTACAGAGTGATACCTTTAGCATATTTTTTTGCTTTTGTCAGAGTACTGTTAAATACTTTTTAGTATTTAACTAGTATTGTTTAGCATTACTAGTATTGTAATAGCGTTGTTAAATACTTCCAGCCCCATCTCGGTGGTATTGCGGCATCTGTGGATCACACAGGTACATTTAGCATCGTCCTTCACTCGCCAAGAGTAACAGTGACACCCTGTGGCAAATTCAGTAGAGGCCTTGCACTGAATTTCCTGGTTTTCTTTCAAATTTGCCTCCGAATTTCTTACACCGTGGGGAGTATCACAGGAGGATCCCTCCTCTGCACATCAGTTCATCAGGGGGTCATCAGTTTGTCATTTGTCTCTCATTATACGTTTCCATTATTGGAATACATGTCTAATGAGCACTTTAATTCTAAGATACAGAGAACACTCTGTGCCCCAGATGGCCAGATGCTCGAGAAGGTGGAACAGGAAACACAAATTGAGAAAAGAAGAAAATATTACATTTCAGTTTAAATTGACTTCACAGGAATATACTGCTGTTCATTGGCTTTCATACTGTTTTTCTCTGACATGGAAACTGTCTACTGAACTGTATCAGAATGTAATGACAAAGATATCCACAATATAAAGGTATCCACAATACAAAACTGTACTACATAAACAAATACATGTTGAAGTTAGGATCCTCCTTTTAACTTACTTGCATCATTCCTTTGGTTTGCTTAATGAACCTAAATAGCACAATTGCTCTGTAATTACTGTCATAATTCTGATTCCCAGTTAAGTCCCTCACTGCACAGTACTATAGTTCTACTGTGTTATCTCATGCTGATATAAAAGGCATGTACCCCAGTTAAATATTTTTCAATGAGTTTAACCTTTGACACTCATTATGCCTTTCAGGCAACATAGCTGGCTGAATACTATGGTCTGCACAGTGCAAATGCTTTAAGCCTCATGCATGCAAAATAGCTGACAAAAGAAAGATTTTAAAACTTCGTGAGAGGAAGTGGTCTGCTTTTGGCCACTTGGGGGGTTTTATGGTCGTGGTTTTTTTGAGTTGGGTGTTGTTGGTTTGGTGGGGTTTTTATGGGTGTAGGAAGAAGAAAAAGTTAAGAAATATTGGGCTAATACCTCTGTTAAACTTCATATGAATCTTCTGTTATACACGGATTGCCTTAAAAAAATTAATGGACATGCAGGGAAGAATGTCATAAATTAGATTTTGTGTCCTCTGTGCTTGAAATTAAGCTCATTATGTCTTGTCCTATCAAGAGTCCGTTCAGTTTAGTTTTTTGGGTGGCAGGACAGTTCTTTAAGCAGTGGAATAGACTGCATTAGTCAATGGTTTATTCTTCAAAGATTGTTGTAAGCAAGTTACAGGAGTGCCTATGGCAAATATTTTAGGTAGAGTTAGATCTGTTTCAAAGCAGAGAGAGGGAGCAGATGACTTCCCAAGGCTCCTCTCAGTCCTTCCTTTAGTGAGTTTATGGTTGTGTCAGTGAACTTTGTGTTTTAAATAGTATTTTGTGCACATCTACTTTCCCAAGTCTCATTCTGTTTGCTTGGGTTCCATCCAGAAAAACAGTGCCCCCTCTCACTGCCTCTTCCCTTTGGTGGGCTCTGCAGCCCCGTGTTTGGTGCCCACAGAGTGAGTCACAGCAGGAGGACTTGTGTTGAACAGAGCAAGCACATTGCTCCCACCAGCCAAAGCCCTTGGTGTCCCCAAAGGACTGGCACACAGCAATCCCACTGGAGGCCAGCATGGAAGGGAAAATAAAGGGGCAGCTCCACTTTCAGGCCCAGCTGTTTCCTTCTCTTTGGCTTTACAGGATGGCTGCAGGTCAGGGCTCACAGTGAAGCTCTGGTAGCCCCCCGTGTCTGTGCACTGCCCTCCTGGCTCCCTGGCTGTTCCCCAGAGGCCTTGCTGTTCCTGAGGGGAGAATTCTGCCATATGAGGTTAAGATGAAGACACAGGGACTACCACTGTCCCTCGAAGAACTCACTTATCCCACATGAGCACTCCCTGACAGCCTGTGCGGATGAGACATTGTTGACCTGTGTCTCCCTCCAGGGAGCACTTCAGAGCTTGAAGACATGGCTTGACATTAAGTTTGACCTCAAGATTATTTTATTTGGGCTCTTAGTTATTTGCTTTAGCTGAAATTTAGGGAAAAACATTTTTAAACCAGAAAAAGTGAAATTGGATAGGGCTTCGTGTGTTGTTTTTTATACAGATCAATCACACGAGATTTTTACAAGAGAAACATTTTATTAAAATCTTGAATAAATTGTTTCTCTGATTCCTCATACGCTCTTCATATCTTACCAGATTCCCTCAGGTACAGACTTCCAACTACAGAACAAAAAAAATTATTTGGTGTTTGTTCTGTCTCTTTTTGTTTCTTTCTTTGTTATTTTCTTTTTTTTTTTTTACATGAAACATCAGTAATAGCTTTTCCACTGCACATGGCTAAATATTTAAGAATAGATAAGAATACATATGTGGAGTAAGAATCAGTTTTTCAGACAATTCTTAAGAAATATTTGCAGGCATTTCATTGTGTCTCTTCAGGGAACTGGCCTTTCCCCTTAGCTGCCCTTGTAAATACATTTCAGAGCACATGGATGGTAACAAAGCTGCCTCTGTCATTGCTGCTTTGTGTCAGCACTGGAAGCCAGAGCTGCAAAAAGCTTCATGTATCTTTGAGACTTTGAATTGCTTTCAACTATATAGGAAGTGAATATAAAATGAGGTGTTAGACCTGTAAAGATGAGTGCATTCCTTTGATTTTTACACACTACACTGTCTTACTCAAGTTATTGGTGTAAGTTTTTGGAGCAGGTTTTTTATTCTTTGTTTGTTTTAAATATGGTGACTCTGTGGGCCAAACCATCTTTCATGGAAGTGATGAGAAATTTGCCACTGATTTTCCAACTAAGAATAGTTTTTGCAATACTAGCTGAAAGGAAAATCCATTAACAATAGTGTAGAGACATCCTATTTATTTATTTATGTTAACACTAATGTGAATTGTGTGAATTAGTAGTATTTTTGTATATGAATTACTGTTAATAGTATAAATTAATAGGATACTGGATGAGGTCTTTTATTCTTCTCGAGTGTTTAATCCTGCATGACTTGCAAACATGAGGAGCAATATATCATGCTCTTAATGAGGAAGTCAAATTAACATATATATTTTTTCCTATCTAGATTAATATGCCTCATGGGTGCTGACTTTGATTATGTAATCCCTTCTGTGAATGGAAATTATTATCTGGAAATACTGTGAATGCAATTAGCAATTTGAATCTGCTAAACTATTAGTCTACTTAAATATGATGAATCAGTTCTTTTACTTCAATGAATATTTCTAAGGAGAACATAAACTGCATTTTATTTTGCATTACATTATCCAGGCAGGTTAGATTATCACCTTCTCTTTTGTTTTCAAACCTTTCTAAGTTTTTATCAATACAATGAAGCAAGTCACAGGAACACATGCCCACTTAAAAAATATTTTATATACATGTTTTACCTTGTCTCAACTCCACCTGGTTGTTAATTCTAAAAGGTTACAATACTTAAGACCATGTGATTAAAGTTTCTTATGTTGTTGATGAATCATCTTAGTCTACAACTACATTATATAACACTATTTAGTTTTCACACACAGGATATTTGCAAAACTAAACAAACATTTTCTGATGGCATCTAGGTTTTGAACATTGGTTTTTTTAGTGCCAATTCTACCTCTCCAGGAAGTCAATAGTAGAGAAAGTCACTGTAAAAATATCCACTGATTTCAACTAAGTAATTTGCCTCAAGATGGAGAACCTTGCCAAATTCAGATTAAGCAAATTATATCAAGTTGTCTTTATTTTTTTAAAAAAGAGGGATGGGGTGGAATGGGGTGGGTGCAGGTGCTTATATATAAAAGTATATATATTTATATATATATATACTGCCCAAGCCTGCAAAACTGGAATGCCTTTAGCAAATTAGGTGCCAGCTTCACCAATATATTACTCCAGTTTTACACAGTGCTTAATTTCCTGACAGCAACTAGAGTAGTGCAGTGGCAAATGAGCACCTCAGCCCTGAGGGCTGGTTGTTGGTTATCCAGGAAGAGCCTGCATTTACTGCTTTGAGCCAACACAGACCTGGGCAACAGCAGCATGTCACTGGTACATGCAGGTAATTTGGGTCACAGACTGGAACAAGACTAGAGTCTGCCTACTGAGCCAGGTGAACATGAATCTCTCAGACAAAATCTTGCAGTCATGGTCCAGCCTCTCCCCATCTTGGAACCTCCTGCTTCATTTGGTGGATCTGCTTCTGTAGTTCGTCTCTGTCCAGCTTCATCTTTGCTTCTAGAACTTGCCGCAGAGACCCAATGCTCTCATAGATGGCTGCAAATCCTAATTGCAGGTGAGAATTCCATTAGTTCATACCCGAGAGCAAGAGCATCACACAGCCACTGTCAGAATGTGCTTCCCACTGTAACACCCTGCTTTGCACTAGGAACAGCAACAGTTCTGAAGGAAAATGGGATGTAACTGTGTTGGTGGCAAAAATGCCCCTGGTCACAGCAGAGCTATGGCTGTGTGTGCTCTGGGGAGGGCACTGCCAAGCTGGCAACATAATAATACCCCTTATTGCTGGGAATGTCACACACAGGGAAAATCCTGATTAATGCCACAGGTGTAGCCATTACATCTGCCCCAAAAGTATTTAAAGTATTTAAAAAGTATTTACTGTGATACAAACAAGGACATTTTGTATATTCTTATAAGTTGATCACTGTTACCACAATTCAGGAAAAAGGACTTGATGACTATGGTCCTACCAGCATTAACTTCGGCTTTCATTTCTTTTATATCTTCGTTTATCTCATTTTGGAGTTTGCCAATGCGAATATTTATCCTTTCTTCAGTCTGTTTTGCTTCATGTGCTTCCATGGTTATCTTCTGCATTTCTTCTATTTTCTCAATTTTTTCTGCCATTTGGTTGAATTTCATCTCAAAAGCTCTCTCACTCATTTCCTGGAGCCCAGAAAAAGAATTTTAATTCTTTACTCTGCATATGAAATAACAGTAGTCTTTCAAAAATATTAAATAGATATTGACTGTCTTTTATCTGGAATTCAAAGGTGTAAGGAATTATACTTTTTTTATAAAATTATTTTAACTGACTTGATTACTGTAGGCTAAAATACTGATCTGTTTAGCAGTGATCAGATTTATTTAAAAATTCTCAGGTTGTGGGAATGTTACACTTGACATCGGTGAAGACACTTAGGCAAATACAGAGGCAGTTTGAAAATCTCACTCAAATAGTAGCTCAATTATATCATCTTAGTTATTAATAAGCATTTTGAATACTTCCTGAGCAGTACTATAGGATATTTTAGAGAAACTTACCGTGTTTTCCTTAAAAGTCAGTGAGAGTTGTTCAACTTTTTGCACGAGCTCTTTTTCAATCTTTTCATGTTCCTGTTCCAACCAGCTACGTGCAGACAAAATCTGACTGCTGAGTTCCTCAATGGCATTTTTTAATCTAAGAGCACAACAGAAATTAGCAGGTACAAAAGGGCAGACCTGGTCATTCAGCAGTGACTTTTTTTATGAACATGTTCATAAAATAACATAATGGCAATTTGATACATTCTTCTCACCATATTAAGGTGAGTCTTTGAATTGTAAGGCTACTAAACTGGATAAAGTAACTTTGTTTTAGAAAACAAAGGTGAAAGAGCACAACAAAATAGCAGTTATTTATACAAAACTCATCACAAATTTTGAAGCCTAGCAGATGAAAATTCATTGTGGTATTGAAAATAGAATATGGTCATCCATTCAGATTATAATCTTTGTGCCCAGAGGTCTTAAACCAGAACAAAGATTTGGTAACCATTTATTTTGGTGGCAATGCTGGTTCAAGTGGCCCTACTTACATTGCCTGTACCCACCTCAGCTTCACACCAACCAAATGTGCCAATGAAACTGTTTCTTTTCTCCCTTGAGTATTTGAAATCTGGGTCTATTCTCTCATCTGGTTTGCCAACAGTTCTACTGATGTAACTGGTGGGATTGCAGGAGGATGGCAATAAGCAGTAAGGAACAAGGATGGGGATGGCTTATACCAGAACTGCCTGGAGAGGAGTTAATATCTGAATTGAATATAATGTCCCCATATAATGTCTGGTAGTAGCACAGTAGCTTATCATTAATAATCTAGGTATTTCAGTTATATTCATGTTTGAAGCCAATTCAAAGCAGTAACACTTTGTGAATGCTGTGCTTTGCTTCCTGCTTGAGTTGAACATTTTGCCCTGCTCTGGACAGCCACCTCCAGCTTTCATTACTTGGCACAGTTCTTGCAGAAGAGCAAGGAAGGTATCAGGCCACTCTTACAAAAATCCTTAGTTGTGTCATTTGAGTTCTGCCCAAATACTTAACTAGGGACTTAATGAACTTTTCAAAATTGCCTAAACACATCAGGGGCAGGATTCCTGGTGAAAGCAAGTCCCACTTGACAGACCATTGTGCTTTTGGAATATCTGTGGAGCAAACACGTATTCAGAGAGGTTCATGCTTTTGTAGACCTGAAGATTGCAACAGTCAGACTTGGAAAACTGAGGCCCTGCCTCCCAGGGTGCAGGGCAGCAGCACTTACTTGGTGTCCAGGAGTTGTAGCTGTTGGTTGCTCTCTTTGTAGGCAACCTTGAGCTTTGCTTCTTGCTGCATTATCGACTGCTCTACTCTGCTCAGCAGGTGAGAAATCTGAAACAAAATTCAGAATTTACTATTTTTCAGCAGCATTTCATCACAGTTTCACCTGGGACATTTTCATAACAGCAGGGAAGGTCTTAGAGAGATCACTTCTGCTAACATTTCTAAAATTATTGAATTGGCATATTTTACTTTATCTTGAAAAATACAATATCTCTTAACATGAAAGTATCAACATTTTGAAAACTGTAATTTTTTTTTTGCCTTAAATAATTGCAATAGTTTTGCCTTGAAAGCATCTCCCTGCTCCCCCCTTGAGACAGCTGGATTTGCAGAATCCATACATCTCCACATTGCCACATAAGCACAGTAAATAACTAGCAAAGCACTCCACCAGCAGTGAGGGGTGTGCTCCATCACTCTGTGTATAATGGCTACTGCAGGGACAGAAGGGCTGGGTTTAACTGGGGATAGGTCATTCCTAGAAGAAAATATTTCTCACCAAAACAATCATCCCACTTTCACAAAACAGTTCTGGCTTACAAGATGCATGACAACATCCTCCTGACATGCTAAGGTACTACACTGAGCCTTCTGAGAAAGGTAAAGTGGATTTTAACCATTTACCTACCGCAAAATGAAGATGTAAAATACTTTTGTTGACCAAGAAAATGGGAAGGCCTTGAGATGGAGATATGAAGAATCCTTTTCCTTAATGTCACAAGTCTCTGCTTGTATCTAGTGCTCACTTCCATTCTCAAACCCAATGGAAGAGAAACCTGACGGACAGATTAATGGATTCACAGAACCCAGAGCCAGTTTTGTTTTGCAGACCTTCAAAAATTGTGTTCAAACAGATAAAGAATCATCCTGGGAAGGCCAAAACATACAGGGAGAGACACTGATGCTTGCATTGTTGTAGTTTTGTGAAGTATCCGTGCCATGTTCACATTCCAACCTCAGGAAGCCATTCAGGCCAGAAATCACTGACTTTTGTTGGTTCCTGGAGTCCTTTCAGATGCCTTTACACACTAGTCCCTTCTACACAGGATGCTGAAGGCAAAAATTAAGGACCTTTTTTCAGTTAGACCAGTATACTAATGCAGGTAGGTACCAATATTCAATGTAATAACGACTGTGAGCAGCTACACCTCTCCATTTGTAAATCTGTGACCTCCCAGGATAATAATTAACAGTACTGGAATCTGTGGGAATTAGACTGTAACGCTTACCTGTACATGGATTGCTTTGGTCTAAATACCATACCTGTATTTCTGCCTCTTTGATTTTAGATTCTAAGATCAGCTTGGAGGTGTGTTGGTCTTTACTTAGGCTCTGAAGTCTTTCATATGTAATTTTATGCTCTGCAGACAGCCTGGCTAACCCAGCATCACACCTGTTTGAATGGATAAAAGAAAAAAGCAACAGCTACATAGAATAGGAGGTTCAGGCTTTTTAAATTTTCCAGTTTATACTGGCCACTTCTGGTCTAGGGAAACCATGTGGCTGTCTAGGGAAACAATGTCTTATGAGACTGTAAGAATTGTCATGTATATCTCATAGTATTCAGCAAACTGCTCCCAAATGGGCTTGAGGTCCAATAGTCTGACACACACATTTCAGTCATGTTGACAGTGCCACGATATGGGCAGGCTGTGTTACCAGTCAGGGAAATCACATCAGAAAGGCAAAGGTGCACAACTTCATTACCTTGTGTTTTTGTCACACTCCAGAATACATCTGACTGGGTGTGTATGATTTTGCCTACATGATGAGAAGCCTTTATGATTAAGGACCATTTTTTCATGATTGTAGCTTTGTATTTTTATTTGTGAAACAGTAGTATACAATTAATATATGTAGTAAACAACATGGGGCAAATTTTACAGTTCTTAGTCTTTATTTAGGTAAATAAATAAATTGTCACTGAAAGCAGCGGCAATTTTGTCTCAGAAAAGATTATGAAGTCCTGGAACACAATAATTATTGTTTCTTTTCTTCACATTGGAACATTTGATGCTGTAACATTTTCAGTCTAAATGTGCTCTAGAATATGTACATTTTCTACCAGATTTCAAAAAGAATTTGACCAGGTGGATTTCATCTACAGTAATACAATAAAGGCATTAACTGAGCTGTAAAAATGTACATACTGTGATTTCAGGAGTAAGACCTCTGTGAAGTATGACTCATGGACAGTTTTTTGCTAAGGGAAATATGTAACCAGCAATGTTACCAAATTTGATCTAGAAAACTGATGGGGAACAGACAGCAGTTACAATCTGAGGGAGAAAAAGGCAATAAAATGGAACAAGCTGAGGCAGGTTAAGTCATTACCTAAACCAATGACACACTTTATGCTCTTTTTAGTCACATTTCAGTTTGCAGGCTTTTGTTTCAACATGCATTTTCATCACCTCGGTTACAGTAACTGCCATTATCATTAAACATGAAGGGAAAGTCCCAACTAAGATGCCAAATGGAGCATTTGCTTATTATTATGATATGATTTCAATAAGAAAATCATCAGTCATGCAAAATAGCACATAGACATTATAAAAGTTTTGGAAATCAGTTTATGGTGTAGCGGTTGAGCACAGTGAGAGCAGTGAGTAATATCTGTAGGAAGACCAGCTGAGGTTTACACAGCACTGAACTTTTACTTCTGGGTCTCACAATCAGGCACTTCTTTTAGAAAGATGAGGAAAACCAAATCTCTCCCCGTTGTTATGATCAGAGAGAATCAGAGCAATGAAATCATCTCACATCTAATCACCAAAATGCTGTGGGCTCCAAAAATGGTTAGTTTTGTTTCTCTGAGACATGACTGAAAATATAAAAAGCAACAGCTTTGAAACTACTGAAGCAAATGTAAACAGCGAGCATCTGTAATTCTTTTTAAAGCAAATAAATGTTCTGGCTTTAATCACAGAGCATTTCTTTTCTTCATGGAACTCAGTTACCTGGTCAAAGGGTTCATGTAGTTCCATGGTAACTGAAACACTAAAATTCTGACTGTGTTAATTTAGTGTCAGTCTGGTGTGTATTGATCAGATTATTTTGTTTTTTTCCGCTATATTTGTTGTACACACCCACAAACACCTGATCAGTTTTGACCTGGAAGAAAATATTAGTGTTCAGTATCAAAGAATGAGGTTCTGACATTAGCTATGTGAGTACACATTTTGAGTCAAAAAGTTAGGACAGCTAAATAACTTCACTCCCTGCTTCCTCTGGCTTTCAAACAGAAAGGGAGGCAATAATGAGATGAACATATGGAAAAGCATGGGCTTTCTAACACTTTTGATTCAGGTTTCTACCGTATGATGGGTTGGAAGATAATCAACAATCTAAACACAAGGGAACATTATAGCTTGCAATTTTTTCCTGTTAAAAAAAAAAAATAGAGAGGGGAGAAAAAAATGGCACACTATAATCCCCACTGAATTCCCCACACCTCTGGAAGTTCTTTTTTGAGTCTTCTTTATGGATTCATATTAAAATGACAATAGAAGTCTTCTTAAAAATAGAAATACATGTTTCTGAATACTGTATTTGATTTAATCTCTATAGATGTAGCCAGTGGGCTATGGGTATAACGACAGAAGTTGGAAACAAGTTTCAAGGTTTGGTCATCCTAAAAGCACAAGAAAAGACAGGAGAAATAGATTAAGATTTCTAGGATGGATCCTGGTTTAAAAATATAAGAGCTGAGTGTAAAACAGTTTTGTACAAAGAAGTGCACAATAAATAATTCTCTGAAATACTGAAGCTGTCCATAAAAACAGCCCAGGGCAATTTTTCATATGCAGTTGCAAACATGCACTGTTGAAATTTGGACCAAAGGTACACTAGAATGTGTTCATTTTGCTACTGTTTCATTTGGGGGGACAATTTCTGAAAGTTCTGATTGCAAGCTGTGTACTTAGGGGAGATTGGTAAATGAAGGCTAAATGGAGAGTTTTCATACTGCTAAGTATTATCCTCGATTTCAGAATGTAGTAGAATTCTAGAAACCAGTAAAGTTTATTACAAACAGTTAAATTATCAAACAACTGCCTTCCAAGCTGTAGTAAGCAAAAGTAGTAGTTATTTTTCTGGCACACTGAAGAGCATTTTTGTTGTCTTCAACCTCTAAGAAATCCAAAGACAGAAGTTGCTCCAGTTGGTATCACTAGAGCCTAGATAAGGCTGAGAGCTGTGCCAATACTCTGCACCTGGGTACTCTATACCTGTGCTGTACTGGTACCCAGAGAGATGTTAATGTTCCTGTTCTGTTCTAACAGGAGGGGTTTCAATTGAAATGCCAGTGTTTCAGCGAAAAACAAGCAGTGAAAGGCAAGTTGACACGTGCAGGGCAGGCAGCAGGAAGGAGCAGCAGAGCTGCTGGATGGTGCTGGTGTGGCCCAGGAGCCCAGAGCAGCCCCCCCTGCTCACCTCCTACACAGCAAGAGCCAGAGCACAGCAGATTTATTGTACCCAAGGAGTTCACAAATTCAGCGTGTCCCAGACGCATCAGACTCATTTTCTGTGCAGTGCAGGAAAATCTGCCTACATCTAATGAGTCCAGGTTGTCTGAAATGAATCAGTTCTATAATGTATATAAAAAAAATCATCTATATATGCAAAGTAGGCCCAGTTAGAACACGCAGAGTTGCTGTTTCTCTGGATGTTTTAGCCATCAGGAAGCTTCTAGAGGCAGCTATTGATATCTCTACAAGGAGGCTGCTGCATTTAAACTTTCCAGACAAATGTTCATAGTACACAAGTAATTCTCTAAATAAATGATAAGGCACTACTACTGAATTTTATGACTTAGTATCACTAGAAAAAGAATTGTTAAATCTATGCTATATAAAATTGAGAACATCAGGGACAGGAGGCTGAAGAAATGGATCTACTGGCACCTATCTAATTCTCTGCTGAATGTGTCACTGTATTTAACAGAGGTAATATTTTTTCTTAAAGTTAATAATCATGCTGATTCTTGGGAATCCTTCATGGTGAACACTGTGATAATGCTTTACAAGTTCATCCATAAATTGTGCTTAGTGAGAAATGGTCCACAGACATGAGCTGCAATGTGTATTCAGTCATTTCCTGGTAGCAATAGTAGTTGATTTTATGATGTGAGTGAGGTGTGTCCAAACCTCATTCCTCCAAACCAGGGGAGTGTGGTTTGGAGCTGTGCTTCAGAACTGCATGTGCATGTAGGGATCCCTGTTCTCATCATTAGAAGCAGCAACCCTCAAGAAATAACAAGACAGTTGTTTGATGATATATTGACATGTTACAGAACAGTTGGTGTTAGGAAATAAACACCACTCTCTCCAGTGTTGAAGTTGAATAGGATGTTTAATGTGCATGTAATTACTGGAACTGAAATTTGGCCAGAATCCTAAGACCGACACTAAAACTATTACATGACCAAAGGGCTCAGATTTTGGGATTTACTGTAGTGCAGTGTGTATGAACTGAGCCACACCAAGTGTGTGTCTGCACACCACCAGCCCAGAGCACACGGGCTGGACTCAGTGAGCCTGTCACTGCAGCCTGAGCCACACCTTCACTGGGGCTGAAAGCTGATGCAGAGTAAGGTGGTGACCCACAGGAACTTGATCGTGTTTCTAATGTTTCACTCTGAACTCCTCTGAAAGCTAGCACGGCTAGATGTGAAAGTAAAATTGCATTAGGTGAGTAAAGTTTATTTTATGTAAGGAACATTGGCTAGAGTAATTAGAAACTGTTTATCCCAGGGAAAATTCTGTATTGTGCCAACAGCACAACAAACCACTGTCTCGACCATATTCTCCAGCTGGTGCTGTAATCATTATTCACAGCAACACTAATTTTCGAAGTAGAATATGTCTGTAAATAAAGGCAAACAGTTTTCCCTCACAGAACACTGCTTTAACTTGATTTCTGATAAAGGGAAGATATTTTTTTCTTCCTCATTCAGGGAATTTTTGTCTGTAGAGAGCATGCTGAATAGAAGCACAGAGGGCACAAGCAAAGATAACAGTTAAAAGACAATAAACTGATTCTCTTAGGGTAATGACTACAAATAGCCTGCAGTTGTTGCCCAGTCTGACATAAGGCAGATGGGTTTAATCTCATACAATTATCAGATAAATTGCAACCCAAGCACAGTACCAGGGCGGTGCCCTCAGTAAATAAAGGAGGAAACTCTGGCACAGAGCGTGCCAGTCCCTCCCCACTCCCCTTCTGAGCACTCAGGGCAGGCAAGGGCCCTGCTTTGACGTCCAGGCCAGCACCTGTTTCTTCTCTTGAGTTCTCTTATTGAAGGCAAAGACACTACATTTTGCTTCCCAAGGTGTCAATAATGGTGTTGCTCCAAGTGTGGACCCCTGTCAGGATGTAGTATGATCTCAAAGTGGACTTTTTATATAAAGAAGCAGGAAGATCTAGGCATGTATTTAAGGGGATTTTTCAGTGAGATACATATGTGTGTGTGTGTGTCTTTCTCTTTCAATCAGTTTTCTGATTTGACAAAATAAACTAGTTCATTCATTTTTGCTAAAGCATAGTGCATAACTTACTAAATTTTTAATTCTTTTTAAAACCTCTCTGAAGTATTCTTTACAAAATGGGCTATGAAAGCTACAGTGGAAGCTTCAGGCAACTGAATAATTTATGAGAAAACTTCAGTTCAAGAAAATTCCACCCTGATTTTTTCTGTAGCCTTTTGAAGGTTATCACTAAATCAGCTGATGTACAAAGAAGAAAGAAAAATTACCTGTACAATATAGACAACGGGTCAAATTCAGGACAAGTATAGCTCCATCAGAGTTATCAGCCAAGCTGCTTTAGGCCAGATTAGGTCCTTTCCCTGTAGCTGTACATATCCTCTGTCTTTTGTGTTCAACTTTAGGGACACTTAAGCCAGTGTTGCTGTACTGGGGTTTGTAAACGTGTCGTTGATGGCACAGTGAAGCCTGTGTAGCTGCACAATTGTAAGCTGGAGTATCAGGCAGGCTGTAAAACCTCTATTATTGTATAGCCTTCTGTTCCTTATGTGTCACGTAGCCTGTGGGTTTTAATATGGCTAACCAGCAACTGAATGTGCAGATTTTTATTTCTAAAACATATGCAAAAATGTGCAACTATTTTGTTCTTCACAAGTGCAGATTGTTCCGTGCTGTCTTTCTAATGGTGCTAATTAATGTGTTTCAAAGATACATGAGTCTAACCACAGTACTTTTTAAAGCTGAACCAAATCCAAATTTGCCAGAGGAATTCGAAGTAATTTATTTAAAACTAATTTCAGGAATTTTAGGAATTAAGTGTGATATTATTAAGTTTAATACGTAATACTGGAATGCAAAGGATTATTATTCATTCAACATAGAACAAAATTATCCTGGGAATTTTGCCAAAGTGGAATTCAGCCCATTATCATTCACATTAATACTTCAAGACTAAAGCAACATTAACTACCCCCAAAATACAGTTCCATGTTGACTTTTACCTTGCAACTCTTCCCCGAAGATCCCCTAAGCCAGAAAGCTGCCGCATTTCCAGACTCTTCAGAGTAGAATTTGTTCCGTAGCTGAGATTGTCTCTGACACGGATCTGTTCCTGCAGCATCTACAAAGCATTCATATGCAAATAAAGGCTCAGTATGTCACATTTAATGTACACTTAAAATGTCACTCACTATTTTTCAGTCGTTCAGTACCCTCAGATACCATTTTATTATTACTTTATTAAAACTTTGTCCTGCAATGTACTAAACCAGATATCTTTTAGGCATTTTATTATTTCTTGTTATTACTGTCCAATCTGCACATAAATACCATAATATGCATAAAGAATAACTTGACAATAAAAATGAAAGGATAAAAAATATTGGGTTTTATCCTTTCATTTTCCCCACCACGCCCCTGTTGCTCACTGCAGCAGAGGTCACATGTGAAGTCATGGATCTGCATAGGATTAGGTCATAAAAATGAGCAGTTGGGTTTGGTTACTTGGTGTCATCGGTGAGTCAGAAGGGAAAGAAAGTTTATTACAGAGCTCAGGCATTTCCTAGTGTTTACACAGCACAGCCTTTGGACTGAACTTGAGCTGGGTATTAGTGTCGCATTAATTCATTTTTTCAAGATTTTCCAGTGCAGCTTTTGAAAGCAAGCTTATTAGAACCACAAAGGCTTCTGTGTTTATATGCTAATATCCTGTGCTATTTTCATAGCCCCTGAAAGAATTATGTAATTTGCAAACACTTTTTCAAGTTGTAAAAACAGTTTATAAACTTACAGGATCTTCAGACCTCGTCTGACCTCTGCTTATCCTGTGGTATAAACTTTCTTAGGAAATTAGCAGGCCTGAGTAGCTGGGATGGCGTTAGTGCCGTGGAACATTCCCCACATACCTCAATGTCCCGATTGAGCTGCCTCACTATGGCCGTGATGTTTCGGATGTGCTCCTCCAGGAGCTGCCGGGCCAGCCGGTCTCCCCCCCCTTTGTTCTGCATTCTGTGCAGAGTGTGAACAATGTCCTCCTTGATGCGGAAAGCGTGCTCCACAAGGGCCGCCGTTGTTTTCTCATGGCTCAGGATTCTGTCTTCCAGCTGATCCACCAGGCTGGCGGATGCCAGCGGCACCGCTGTCAGCGCCTGGCTGTGCAGCGGGATGTTCCGAACCCGTCTAGTGCAGAAGAACAGCCAAGATATTGTTGAGTTCTCACACAAACCTCTGCAATGTCTTTCCACGGGAGACAGTGCAATGCTATCTGAGTACTGGGAGAAGCCCCAAAATGCTCACAGAGAGAGGGCCCACTCCTACAAATAAGCGGGTGCTGTGTTGGCTACTGCGTGTGTCTTGTACAAAGGCAGGTCAGGCTCCCTGTCATTCCCCTTAAGGGAGCTTACAAAAGCATAGGATCTTAAGAAAAGGACATTAGCATAATAAAAGTAGTTACAATTCAGAACTAGAATTTGATTAAGAATCCAAATTCAAGCCCCTTTATTGAGTTTCAAAAGTAATGTTATTTGTCTCTGCAGTTCTCAGGCTCAATCTAAGCCATAACTGTAGAAGGTAGGTATTGTAAATCAAATGCAAACAGACTGAGATTAAAAAGCAGTAGCCTGTGTCAATTCCTTTTTTCAGTCTCTACAGCTATCCTGTAATACACACAGAAGCTTGTTCCCCCATGAACTGGACAGGAGCATATGTGGGTATAGAAAGATCAAAATTATTACAAACTTCTCATAGTCTTAGAACACAAATTTTCCCCCCAAAATAGCTTACATTTGGGTACCTTGAATATTTGTCTATATTTTTCAAGGGTGCAGTGCACTTGCATAGCTTCCATGGAATGCAATGGAGCTCATGGGTGCTGAAAGTAAAACAATTAGGCTGCTAATGCATGCAATCTTTTCCTGTCACTACATTCTGTAAAGAATAATGAAAACTTTCAGAAGCATAAGGGGAAGATACAAGTTCAACCCCACTTTGAAAGAGGAGATCTTTTCTTAGAACTGTATTATTTACTGTGCATTCTCATTTTCATTCCTATTAATAAGCCAAATCAGCAGTTCAGGTTCACCATGATGATACTGTAAGAGATGCATGAGGACTCTTAATACAGGTCACTTTTGGCTCTGAGTTTTCACACTCGTTCCATGCTATTAGAAGACTGGCTAAAGTAAAGTATTGTTGGACTTCTACTCAGTTACAGTTTAAGCTATTTACTTTATTTGGGAAATGGTTAAGTAAAAGCTGAGCAAGGAATTGTGATTTGGGCCATGATTTGAATGTTTACAGTATTTCACTTTGCTTTGCATACTAATGCCAAAGTCCCAAGCCACGGCCTTACTATATATAGGGAACCAAGAGACACATAATACTCTGCAATACGAAGATTTTAATTTTTATATTCCAAACTGTACCTTTCAGAAGGGGCAAGAGTTGGGAAGATTGGGCTTCGGTGGGCCATTTTCTGGTCAATAATTTATGTCTGTTGAAAAAGTACACATTGAATTATTGAGTAGTTTATATCGGCACTGACATGACTAAATTCTTCTGCTTTAAGTGCACCTTTAAGTAAAGTTTAAAATTAAAAATAGACACAAAAGAATGAAGACTAAAAACTGCTAAAAAGCTTTTTATAGTGAAAATTATACTCTTGAAAAGGCAAGGGTGACAGCCTTGAAACTGAAATCTGCTGTTGACCTACAGAACCGGTTTGGCAGGACAAAGGTAAACAAACTTCTTGTCCCCAATCTGTCTACTGGTCTCAGACATAATTAATCAATGAATAATAAATTAAGATCTACAGGATTATCGTAAAACTTAGGAAAATATTGACTGGAGAGTCAAATACAAATGTTTCATTACAGTAGATTATTAGGGATAAGGTGCTTTTCAGGTAAAAGCATTGGCAGTCAGAAACCTAAATAAAATGTGTGACATCAGCATAGTTTAGCAAAATTGAGTCTTTTGCTAATTTGTCTTGAAATCTAAATGATCACACTTTATGTTGTAAGTAAATTCTTCTGTGGTAAGAATATAGATTATGGCTTTAATTTTTAGACACTGCCAGCCAGACTGTGACAGATATTGCAGCAGAGTAGGTCTATTCAATAGCTTCAGAAAGATATTTTAATATCTTACTGTGATACCAGTACCTGGCTCAGAAGCTTTGTCTGCTGACAGAAATTAAATTAATGACAAAGATGTTAGCCTCAATCAAATCCAACTATTCTACCCTATATAAAACAAATCAACATTTTTAAGTATCAAGAGAATGAGAACGGCCTAAGCCTGAACTCCCTGGGAACCTAAAATCCTCCCTGAAAACTAAAGGCTGATGTATGAAAAGAATTTTGCAATTGCTGATGAAATCCTGTGCATTATGCTCTACCAGTAGAAAGAGAAAAATGGGTTATGGAAATAAAATAGCCAAACAGTGATTGTGAAGAAGCAATAAGGCTGCCCTCCGAGATCTCAGAATGCAAAGCATGTTTGTGCTTTAGAAATGTATGAAAGCAGTGCCTGAGAGCAGAGAGCAAACATTGTCACAGTGTGTGTGTTCTATTTATAGCATGGTGCTTCAGAAACTACAAATTAGGAAAAAAAATAGTTTTAAGAGAAGGTGGATTGCTGAGCAGCAATGACAATAGACAGGAATTCAGAAGGTCGGAGTTTAACTCCTTGCTCAATCTCTGACCCACTGAACTTCAGACAAGTTATTTCCACGCCTAATGACTCAGTTTCCCCATATGGAAGAGAGAGAACGATACCTACCTCCCTGTTTAAGTTCTTACATGGCTATAAGTAAAAAGCAGGGTATAAGAGCTGGGGATCATTGTGATGACTTTTGCGTTCAAAATCCTGCACAGACACTGAAGGTCCAGTTCTGCAATCTGTTCCTCACACCGTCCTTTCCCAGTTGTTGGTTTTTAAGCAATGCCACCACTCTCCAGATGTCCCTCCTGGCTGTATCCCCAGGCTACACCACCTGAGATCATGTACTCTCAGACCTCTGGGCCTTAACACATTTTAATGATCTTGATGCAGTGAAGCATTTGAACACAGTTTAACTGTGAACACAGGGGTTATCCCACTGATTTAAGGAGAGCTGTGTGTGCTACAACAGCAAAGCACTGGATGCTACCTAGAAGAATAAAGAACAAATATTAAAGTTGGCACAGTAGAAGTCTCTTAGTGAAATAAACTTATAAAAGACAGCCAAACAGTGTTTTAATCTTAGGGCCTTTGGTATCTATTTATTATCAATTGGCAAAAAATGTTTGCAGCAGAGGAAGCATAGGTTTGCTTGAACCTTTAACTTTTTCTGCCAGATTACCATTAGACATGCAGCTAAATGCAAGTATTGCAAGAAATTGTGCACATGGAACAAAAGTCACACAGATGAACGTCTCAGTCATTTGTTGTTGCTAACTTAAGTACTTCCCTCAGTACACAGTGAAATATCAGCAGTTATTGGATTTCTTGATCTGATCCAATAGCCAGAAAGGATGTGTTTAAGATCTTGTTCAGCGGTTGTACAAAACTTTCCTGCAGTTTGGAGATATTTACAATAAACTGTAACAAATAGATGTCAGAACTAATGACAAATTCCTTCTCTATGAGTGTATGTAATACCAACTTAGACTAGTAAATATAAAAGAAAACATAAGATGTTCTGACACCTGGATTCAGAGAAGTGTAATTTCACATGGCTGCAATTCTAATGGCAGTAAACTGGGACCAAGTTAAACACCAGTTTAAATACTCTCTACAGTTACTTAATTTTATTTTAATGATGTTATCTCCTACTTAATACTGCTATAGCAATTTAAGTCATGATATATTAACCCAGTAAATATTGGGTTGATTAATTTAGGTTACTGAATATTCCAAATATACTTGTCACATGGACAAGATAAAAGGATTTTCCCCAGCTGTGAACTGTATGCCTGATTGCCAAAAATAACAGTTCACCTGACACGCAGGGCAGCTTTTCCATAAAAACATGGATTACTTCCATATTGTTTCTTTAAGTCATTGACATCAGATGTGTAAAAATCACCCATGGAACACGATGAAAAAACACTTTTAGCAATGTACAGTTCACTCCTTGCTATTTGTGCTGTGGCTTCCCTTCCCCTCTTCTCAGACTGCCTTGCATGTTTATTTTCTGTGGATTCTCCATTTCTCCTGTTATGATGGATAATCTCATCTGTAGTGTTCAGTTCCTCATCTTCCATGATAACCTACGTCTAATACTTGCTGTAATGTCTCTGCACCTCAGAGTGTTTTTCACGTTCATTCTCACAATATGCCTGCGGGGTAGGAAAGCATTATTATCCCTGAAAACATAATTTCCTTCTGTTGCTGCTAGGGAAGTGAAGCACGGGGTGGGCTATGTGACTTGCCACAAGTCACACGGGAATCAAAGGAGACTGAAATACCTGCCTAGGCAAACACTTTAATCACTCTTTTCTTCTTAAAATAGCAACCGCTTTGGTTGCTGCGCAGGGAACGTGTGACACCACCCCGGCAGCTTCCCAGTGTTACTCTGAAGTGCTCTGGGGCGACGCTTTGGAGTAAGAGGAAAAGTCCTTGTGTTGCACCTCAGCAAAAAGAGGGGTCAAAAGGCCGTGTCGGAGACCCGGCCTCACCGCCGGGGGACCCCTGCTAACTCGACGCGGGGACGAGGTGGAGTAGAGGACCCCCGGCAGCGCCGCGGACCGCGCCCCGCTTGGCCAGGCCAACGCCCTCGGAAACAGGTGCGACTGCCGTGCCCGTGCGAGGCTCCAGACGGAGATGCGGGGAGCCCTGCCCTGCCCTGCCCTGCCCTGCCCTGCCCGCGGCTCGCGCCACTGCGCGGGGTCAGGGATGGCGCAGCGATGGCCGGAGAACACGGGGCCGTGCAACCACAGGCGACAGGAACACCAGCGTCAACACACCACTCACGGACTATTGCAACACGGAGGACAGAGCCGGGACGGCTCTCGCTCACTTCACCGTGCTGGCTCGGCAGGGCAGGGCTGCCCGGCCGCTCCCCGGCATCCCCCTCGAGCCAGCCGCTCCGCTCCCGAGCGCAAAGCTCCTGACCGCCGCCGCCGCCGGCCCGGTCCGTCGTCCTCCGTCTTCCCGTCCGTCTGCCTTCCCGCCGCTGCGGACTGGAGCGCAGGGGGAGCGCTGGAGGAGCGCTAGGATCAGATCTGGCGCCGCCGCAGCGGGTGCGGCGAGCGAGGTTGCCAGCACCCCGGCCATGGGAACGCGCTGGAGCCCGGGCGGCGGAGAGCCTTGGCATCGCCCCCCTCCCCGCACTATTTCCCGCAGCGCCGACCCTCGGCGAGAGCAGGAGGTAAGGCCCGCACACCACTCGGCCGGTCGCACGTGGCACGGACGCGGGGCAGTGCCTCGCGGCCCTCCCGCGCCCGCAAACACCGGCCCCCAGACGGAAAGTTCGGCGGGGGCAAACAGCGGTGACTCCGAGTTTCGAGCCGAGAGTATGACTAAAGGCATGGGGGTTTCCAGGGCTCATATCAAACCGTGTCGGAATACAAGACTGTTGAAATCAATGGCAAATACTAATCTTGTTTGTGAGATTTCCAGGTTACATTTTCAAACGAGACCTAACGTGCAGCTTCAGTGAAACTTCACATATCACAGCAAATGAGAGCTGTCTGCTTGTACAGCAGAGGCGTGCGAGCTGAGAGAAAGTATTACTGGATAAACAAATCCACGGAGGGTGTGTCTGCCTTCACTTTTGTTCCTGCTTGTGTCGTTCCTTGGATTTCGTTAGTTACAATCACCTTGGGTAAACAAAGGTAAATGAAATCCAAGGCAAACTGCACCACTTCACTCTGAAATAGCAGATTGTCTCTGTTTTTAGTTAAAATTCATGCCACATCCCATATTGTTGTATAGGCAAACCATTGCAGGACTGGGAATCAGTCAGATGTGAAGGAAAAAAGGGTTATACTGTGCACATGCTATTGTGGAAAACAAGACAGGGTCTGAGTCCACACTCTGATTGACCTATTTATTTTAAAATTTGATGATTATTTTATCATCAAAAGATCGGGCCAGAAAAAAAACATGCCGTAAGTGCTTTCAAAATTATGAACTGAGAGTCATTGGATTGTGGGATAATTCAGCTTACAATGGACCCAGGAGAGCACTTGGCCAACCTCCTGCTCCAGGCGAGGTCATTGATGAGGCCAAATACAGTTGCCCGGGGTTTTACCCAACCTGCTCTTGAAAACCTTCAAGGATGGAGGCCCCCCAGCTTTTTTGGACAGCCTGTGATCACCCCTGCTTGTTTGGCTGCTGGGGAAGAACATTTTCTTTATACCTAGTCCGGAACCCCTCTTGTTTGCGTCTATGTTGTTGTCTTCCCACCACGTGCCACTGTGAAGAGTCAGACTTTGCCATCTCGATGACTTCCTCACAGATGCTGGGGGCTCTTGTTAGGTCCCCCAAAGTCTCCTTTCCTCAGGCTGAGCAAGCCCTGCATTCCCAGCCTTTCCTCAGGGATCCAGCCCCCGACCATCTCACTGGCCTCTGCTGAACTTGCTGCTGTACACAGCTGTATTCCCTGCCCTGGCCAAACTAGACTGACTTCATGCTCTTGTGTAGGTATTTTGTACCTGTCTAGTGATTTTTCTTGCTAAAGGACTGCTCGGATACTCAGTATTTTTTTGAGTGTGTATGTCTGCAGAGTAGGGCTTGAAAGGAAATTTTTAGTAAAAGCAAATTGATTGAAGTTATTTTAATTTAAAAACATAACATTTGTACCTCTACTTCAGTCTTGAAAATAACTTTAAAAGGTCCCCCCATGCTGCTTTCTCCCTCTAGCCCTTCTCTGGCGACAGAGTGGGCCAAGACATGTGGCCAAGACATGTAAATTTTTGTTTGTTCTTACCCTCTTCTCAAGGCATCCCTTACACCACTGTCCAACACAATATTTGAGGTGAATGGTCTTTGGTTTGACCCACACAGATGCTCTTTTCATGTTGTGTTATCAGAGATCATTATTTTTTGTATTATATCACACTCTTGATGTTTCTAACGAAAGCAGTACTAAACTGTTGTATTTTATATCATTACATCTTCAGTGTCATTCACAGTGAACATGTACATTTATTTTCTTTAAGGCAAATTCATATCATGATCACTTTTTTCATCAGGGCACAACAAGAAGAATAACATTAATTTATTCTGGAGTCTTCAACTGTCTCACTCATGAATGCAGCCCCATTTCAAATAATCACAGAATTACAGAAATAGAGTAATTTAGGCTGGAAGGGACCTCAGAGGGAATATGGACCAACTCCCTGCTCAAAGCAAGGCTAATGTTGTTGTTAGATCAGGTTGCCCATCATAACATAAAGTTTTGATCTTAAAAGCTTGTGTAGTGTTTTAAAAAAACCTCCCTTTGAGGAAAAAAAAAAAACAATTCTTGCAATTTTGTTGTTGTGAATCTACATAGCTTAACTGAATTCAGTCACAGGAACACAGGAGGCAGAACTCCTCGGTTACCAAGTCCTCGTGGACTTCTTCCAGATTTATACCAGCCTTGCAAATAACAGCATTATTCATACGTTTTGGTTTGCAGTTGGAGAAAAAATTCAACTCCATGAATTCTAAGTGTCTCTTGCATCTGAGGCATCTCTTAATCAGATCCAGAGTGAGAGAGTCACATGCTACTTTTCCTCAAAAAGATCCAAACCAAGCAGCGGATGAAAAAGGGCTGTTGACTTTGCTACTGTAATTTTTACTCCAGTGCTATTTTAGATGGACACATTGAACATGTTAAGGGCACGTTTTCTGAACAGGTTTGCTTCTCTCATTTGGGGCCAACCAAAGAGAGGAAAGAAGAAATTGTGTTGGGCACAGAGAAAGGGAGTGAGAGAAAGCTACAACGGTTATACTGTTTTTCAATGTGGAAACCTGTCCTAATCACTGAAGTGATTTCATCACATTTTAAGTCATAAAATTCTGCCTTTGTCTAATACATGCCATTTTGCTTCTCCCTACATTTCACAAGAAGAAATTGTTGAATCCATTTATTTCCTGGAAGTAGAATTCTGCATATTCCAAGTGTAACTGAAGGCAGAGTGTAACCATCTGCATTTTAGAAGAAA